GATTAAGCATCGTGATGAATCGTGTTGCAGGCCAAAAGGATTTCTTTCTCTTGGTTTTCCGTTTGTTTATTTATTTCTTATTGCTTTCCCATCCGATTTAGTCCAAAATATACCTCTAAATATACCATCTTACCAATGAAAACTATTTAAGCAAAAAAAATTTATAAGTCAAGATAATTACGTCCAGGAGCAATCGTACAGCGCACATCTTTACAATTAACGTAAAAAGAACAAAAGAGATTGCGGATGGGATGGTGAAGCCTTCAAAGCTTAGAAATGCACTCTTGACATAAATATCATACACGACTCAAGAAAATATAGTTTTATGGTATTGTTTTGAGCCACATTCATTCTTAATTTCCCTGCCGAATAGTGTTCTCACATTTCAAATGATATATCTCCTTTCACATTCAAAAAACATTTGGCACCGACATCTATAATGTGTCGCTATCTTTCTATGAATCGATTGGTCGAAAACTACGATACAAATCCTTCGAACAAAATAATCTAGCACTACCACCAAATGGATACGAGGTAACGCTCGTCTGCACTCGTTCGGTTCCTTCACTTTAGGAACTTAGGAAACGACCATTCATGGCTTTAAATCAAAGATAAAGCTCACACCTCCCTTCGGTCGATGTTCGCTAGCAGGTTATCTAAAATATGTTATGAATTTTTCTTTGACTGATGTGTAAGCTTCGTAATCCAATGTAAACTTAAAAGGTTTTCTCGAGTCCATGAAAAGATCCCCGGAGATCTAAAAATATTTCTGAATTATATTCTGAAACTATTTTGTAAGACGTAGATTGAAGCAAATGGAAAAAATTCTTAATGCAGAAGGATAAAAAAGAGTGGCATTACTTCCACACTCAAATAGTACGAATCAATCAGAAGAGGGGATAAGCTAGGACTAAACTTAGTCCTAGTGTATCTTAACCTAAAATAACTGAGAAATGTTATGAACTTTTCTGATTCCACAGAAAAAGCACACAATGTAATATAAAGCTAAAAGGTTTTCTGGACACCCTCTGAAGATCCGAAGTCGGAGGTTGCAAGTATTACTGATGGATTCGCCATGATAGATTATCTATATTCTGTAACTCTTATTATCTTTAGCTAGCTTTTTGCGTTATAAAACTGAGTGATTTCTGGCGACATCTATCTCCAAACTACAGAAGACGTTTGCGCAGCTTTTTTTCTATCTGCATCAGTAAATATTTTTTTCAGCCACCTTTTCGGATATTTTCTATCTCGTGTAAAAAAATAGTTTTCTGCTTTTCTCCCCTGTGATGGCTTATCCATGGAATATCTGACAGCCATTTTTCCATACTCTGCGCACATACAGACAACCATTTTATGTAAGACTCCAGACTATAAAGTCAAGGGAATAGTTTGGAAAACCACTGCAAAGTAATCTTACATGAAAAATGAAGAATTCACTAATCAGAAATGTACAAAAGCTTTTCTGTTTTTCAAAGAAATCAACATGAAATTTCTTAATGAAGCGCTAATATTATTTGTTCTTTTTCATTCTTCGACAGTTCTGTGCATGATAGACTGCTTCGTTTCGGAGCTAAACGTGTACGCGTACACTCTGTTTTTCTGCGTTTGTTGTTTTAAACGTGGTTTTCTAAGTAAAATAATAAGAGAGATTGAAGACGTTATTCAAACTACTTTTAATTAAGACTAGAATCTAGAATCTTAGACTATACTATATGGGCTTCAATATATACGGAAACAAAAAACCTGAGAAAAAGGACAATAAATATTACACTAATGTGTCCGAGAGGAAGCAATAGTTGAACCTAAAGCTTCATGGTTAGTTTGTACTCCGAAGCCTTTTTTTGATCTGAGGGTGAGGATTCTTTCGCAGTTACTTAAAACAGTACGTTTGAAAACAACAAAGGTAGAAAATACGTTATAATCGAGATTTTTCTCTTTCGTTATCAATAAGTAAGAATATCTTTCAAGCAGAATTACTTTTGAGATGCATCAGTGTGTCGCTAGAAGATAGAAAGAAAACCAGTAACTTGCAAGAGGTGGTCATAGAAAACTGCTGGTTCAAAGAAAATACCAGAGTTATCTATCGGGTGTTGCAGAAGCCTTGATCGAAGCAACTCAGAGTTGATTATTTTAGTCTGTTGAAATTATACGATTATTATAACACATTCCTGTAAAGCAACGCGATTATTAAGAACTGATGGTTTGGTCTCCGGTACTGTTTCATATGAGTCAAACTCAAGAAAGATGTGTCATCATAAAATATGCATATATTCATTCATTTCGTAATTTTTTTCTTTCTATTGCGCAATTAGCAATACGCAAGAAAGAATGGTGTCACCTACACGCACCATGCAGGAAAATAGAGAGATAGGTACATATATATGATTCAACGTTCTTCAAATTTCCATTATCAAGGAAAACTCTTTTAGTTCTCTTCCCACACATCGATCTGCGATAAAAAAAAATGACTTGGGTTTTTCTTTTTCCGCTGCTTCAGTCAACTGATAGATTTCTGCATTTTTGTCGAATTAAGCATCTTGTTCATATTCTGACAAGATCCTTAACTCGAACAGATCAACCTCGCAGCGTAAATCGTAATTCTTTCACCGAATTTGGTGAAAATAATAAAATTGACAAAGTTTGATTCTGACATTTTTCAGAAGTGTACTTGGAGACCAAGCATCGTAAATCTTTACAATGGTGTCTCCTAGAGGTCAAAAAATATTTCGTATGTTTACAGAGCTTACATTCAGAAACTTTTTTTTTAATATGGAAATTCATACTAACTATTTTTTACAGCATTCTTCTTCATAAAATGGTTTTTTGGTCCGTTACTGTCTAGAACATATTTTACTAATCAAATGTATGCCTTTAGTGGAAAAAGAATCTTGACTGACGCAAAACAAGATAGTTGTTATCACTCCATAATAATTCTTCCTGTTCTAAGAAACACCTTTATTGAGGCCCATTTTATGAGATTTGATTGGTGAATGTCTTCTGACTAATATCGTCCGTCAAAATAAATGATATAAAAGAGATGGCATTGTTTAGACTTTAGACAAGATTTATTCATTGAGTACAAAAAATTTACAAGAACAATATGAAGAAAGTGCTGTTCATAAATATCCTGATCGACAGAATAATCTTTATGAAATAATCCTTGTGTCTGGCCGACGTCTGTAAGAAAACTGTGGTTGTAAAGTTTCGAATTGTTTGAGTAAATGAGTACTGTCTCTTCTCACTGTATTAATTAGAAAAAAAATTAATTTAGTCGTTTTTTAAAACTATGGATCGATTTAACTTTGTCCGGAAATGTCAATTTTGAAATCAGTAGTACCTCACTGGTATTAATCACTTTAAAATTAATAATGTTCATTCAATAATAAAAAAATTTTTCCATTACTCACAATATGCGGGTAACAAAAAGTATTCTAAGATAACTGTGTGCTTGCTGAATAAATCGAGAGTTGATATATTAGAGTGTTACGAGCACTATGATTTGTGTATGAATCAGTTATTTTCATGCCGCTTCTACTGCTCTTTTATTCCGCAGTATGATCAATATTCTACGTTATCTTTGAGTTTCACAGGAAAATTTGGGTGTTAGAGTGGCTATAAATCGAAAATGTTTGATTAATTTCGTTTTCTTTTGACATGATGAAGTCCTCGTATCTGTACTATTTAACAGTCCTTACTGATTTGATTAATTAGCTCGTGTTGCGCTAAGTATTATCAAAAGGCAGTAACAAAAGTCACTTTTTTGATAAATATTTGCTCTTGATTGTATATATTTCCATGTTATTTTCCTGGATTACGAAAGAGTTCATTTGGTAATACAAACAAACGTTGTGGCGATTCACGCTCTATAGAGCAACATTCATAATTATCTTTATTTAAGTTTTAATTTCCATGTGAATTAGTTTGTTAGATTACCTTAAAACGGAAATATGATGGTTTGTTTTCCTGAGGTTGATAAGAATAACAATTTTGTTTGTAGCAGCTCGTGGATTTCTGCAAATAGTGTGTCATAATTAAAAAAAAAGGTTTTCTATTTTTTAAGAAGTATCGATCTTTAGCTGTTAAACGTCTGTGCTAAACCCCGGAATTCATTAAATAGATCGTCGTTCGTTGATTCACTGTGTTTATTATTTCTATGCGTTTTTTACAAATAATTACCGATATCATTAACGGACGTAACAAAATAACCATGTTTTTCCATTTTTTGAAGATATTGTTGTTGTTCATTTTAGACGTGACCGATGTGTGCGTTGTTTTACTGTAACGCGGTTCACAGATCATCAACAATTCTCTTTGTTTCTTTATCATGCTATTTTCTCTAATGATAGTCGTGTGATATTGCTTCACAACAACAGCAACTTATTGTTTTTTCCATCTTTTCTTTATTATTGGTTGATTATTGAAAACGATTATGAAGGTAAACATGGTTTTAAAATTTTTCTTCTTTTGAATCCTAAATTTCTTTATTTGTTATTCTCTATTTAGCAGACCAATTCCATGAAATTACCACATATTCCCGCATCAAAACGTGGTCGACAAACAAATCAATTACAATTTATGTCGAAAATACTATTTAAAACATTATGGAGGCATGAATTTTCTTGGCCATTTCAGAAACCCGTAAATGCAGCCAAACTCAATTTACCAGTAAGCGATGCAGCATATTCTCCTTATAAATAATGAGATGAAAGTAGTATAGTATATCATGCAACAAATAAGTTAACGCAATTATTTGTTCAAACATCACACACAGTCTCTTGCATTCAACGTATATCTACCCGTTAGATATTACACTGAGAAATGATCTGCAGAAGTTATCATCGCTTCAATATTTACAAAAAATTATTGTAGGAAGTTTTTGTTGAATCATAAAACATT